ACACACGCACACACACATACACTGTGTCATATGGATACGGGCTCCTCGCTCCGGGCGAGGCCACCAAACCCACATACAAACACGCATCCACACGCACGTACTCTCTCGCACGCAGAAGAGATGTATTAACACTGCAGAGAACACGCACTTGTTAATTATATCCACACGACCACTGGGCCCACACATAGGCGGAATAATGTTTTTTTGTTGTTTTTCCCCTGGTGAGTCACGTACTTTTTATGTGTATTACGTTTTCACCCTTTGCGTAGATTTCATTTGGGAGCATTTTCATTTATTACTTAATAATCTACATGGCACTGCGGAATATTGAAGCCTATAGAGGGAATTACCATTTCAAGCGCTTTTATTTACAAAACATGAAACATGAACTTGTTTTTAAATCAGTAATAACGATTTTTTAAAATTAATATCACTTTTTAATAAATTATAAAAACAATTCTTCATGAATTTACGTAATTCTGAAAGTTCAACTCATTTGAAGTAAAAAGATAATTTTATTTTTAATTAATGAACGCAATTTTTTATCAATTCAAGTATCAATAAAATAGATAATAATGTTCTTTAGAAAGTAATGTACCTTAAAATTGAAATTTTAGAGGCAAAATTATTTTCTATAATATACAACTTTTTACCATAGTGTTCCATTTCACAGAAACATGAATATTGCGCAAATTGGATGCAATGTATAAAACGCCTTTTTCCTTGAATTAAATTCCAAATAATGTAATTGTAATTTAATTGACACACAAAACAAAACGTTATTTAAAAACTGGAGGACGGTTGCGAAATTCTGGGTTCAGATTTGGATTCAGTGCGTCGACTTACATAGAGAAACTTGTGTCAAGTCGTTGGATCTGGCAGCCTTGTTTTTGTGCGGGCCTATTAATCATTTTCGTCACTACTCAGGATGAAGTTCTGTTTTTAAAAGAATAAGAATACGTAACATTCATCTTATCGTTAGAGTATATTTTCAAAACCAGCATAACTTTGCAAGAAATGAAATTACAAATCCAATTATTTTGAACATCACACTCACTTTCGGAGCTTAATACAAACGTTACCCCTCTTTGCAATTACCAAATTGAAACCTCAATTTTACAAGAGTAACAGTAACACTGGGAAGTGATTCTCGGTCGAGACGACCTTTCGCATTTCGGGAAGTATTTGCATGTTACTGCATTTACATGATACTCGCCCAAGGTTCATTGCTCAGTCGCCGGAGCTGGTGGAAGGCGTCGCCAGGGAGGGTGGGAGAGAGGGTGGGAGCAATCCTTCCTTTGGCTGCATCTTTGATCCGGTGCAAGCAGGCGACGACGCGACGGATGAAACCCACCTACGCAAAGACTCGCTGCGAACTGAGATTGCTCGCTGAAAAGTGACCCAATTCCGAGAGCTGACGGCGAGGATTTCTGAGAGAATCGTGACGAAAAGGGGGCGACGCACGACGGAATTCTTAAAGCGGCGCGAGGTTCGTTTCTTTTTCCGCTTTGTCTTTGAGTTTGATCACAGGTCTTACTCTGTTCCCTCGATGGAACTTCTCTCTGGTCTAGGTGTGGCACGATAGTTAAAGGTGGTGGTGGAGTAGTACGTTTATATTGAGACGGAACTAGATTACACGTGTATTCAACCCGTGCTTCCGTTGTAGGTTTGGATTCCCTCTTGAAAATAATTCACTAACTTAACATTTTTATCAAATACTGTAAATTTAGAGGTAAATATTCATTTAAATATATTATTTTTCTCCAAAATGCTCTTCCACATATTTCCAATTTCTGGGAACATGATGAAGTTGCTTATTGGAGATATGCAATCGTACTGTAATGCATTATAATTTTACGGTGATTAAATGAGTTATTGTGATTAAATTTATAATACATGCGTTTACATGCACACCTATACAGGCATACATATTTGTAACATATTTGCACATGCATAGTTATACATATTTGCACACGCAAAGACATTAATGCACACCCAATTCAGGAATGTTCTCATGCACATTCACAAATATAAAAAACCCATATTCATGCATCTGCATTCTCTGACATGACATTAAAACATTAACCGCAGTTGTGGATTGTAACCTCAAAATAACATTTAATACGAAATACAAATGCGTGTCATAATATTTAAATAAGTAAAAATGTAATATCGTAGACAAAATATAAAAATGCGAGGTGGGGTTGAGCCATGGCAGTTATTGTTTCCAAATAATTAGTATAAGGTACCAATTTTTAAATATAGGAATTAAAGTAAATAAGTGATCGAAAGTAAATGAAGCGTTTCTTTCTATATCGCTAAACCTGCTCTATTTTTGACAATTAATAAACAAATAAATAATTGCCATGGCTGGTATCCCAGTTCTCACAGTTGTAAAAATAAATGTTTAACCAATTTTTAGTGATAAATTTGGCTATAGTGCGAATCCACGAATATACTTAATTGGGAGGCGAGTGATATGACACCCAGTGACCACATGGCACCCAGTTACGCTCGTATGAGGAAGTCAAGAAGACTAAACCACGCCACAACTCTCTGTAAACCACATGTCACAGACTGACAAAACTTAAAGTTCTAGAAAAGAGAGAGAAAAAAATAACTGTTCGGTTCTCTTTTTAAAAATAAACTACAAAGTAAATAATGATCAATACAATCCAATTAGTTTCCAACACAAATGTTACATAATATTCATGTTTATATTCTGAGATAAAAGAATCTGAGTGTGACATCTTACGTTATTAACTCATTTTTGTCAGCGTAATTCGCTGTCCTCTGGAGTGATGCTGTTGATAAGGAAGGCTGTTGCATCAGGATGACTGATATTCTGCGACGTTGGTTAGGTCATATTGTCTAGTATCTTCTCATAAACGATATCTTAAACAATATCCATCTTCTCAAAATCGAAAAGAAGTGCAATCGTCAATTTTTCTAATTGTTTCATAAACTCCATAAATATATGCAGCCTTCCAAAGAATCGACCATCCGCAAACGACGTGGAAAGCTACAAAAACCTCAAACTGAATATGAGAGAATTCTCTATTGGCACAGCTTATTTCTGTGACGAGACGCTACCTGAAAGACTTTTGACTTAGTAAGATGATAAATTACCCAATTCAATCACAAGTGCAGTAGGCACCATTCTTCCACATGTAGTTAGATGTGTGTGATTTGAAAACTGTGAAACGATCAATTGAATATTATTATTTTGAATTTCTCCAGTTTTCACAAATTCTATGTAATTGTAAATCCATACATTAAATTTGGTATTTATTGTTGTTTTTGCAATTACGCCAAGACTCCGAATAAATGTTACACATTTCAAACAAAATGTAGAGGAGTGTCAATGATTATCACTTTTATCAATAAACAAGACATGATAAATTTGTTATATCCCGAAATTTTACATGTGAAATGTGCCTCCTTCTTCGCAAGAAACTCATCTCCCTAGATATATTACTGCCACAAAGAGGTTTAATGAATCTCCCAAACTCCAATACAAGCCTACAAACCAGGCAAGTGCCAGATGTGTAACTTGGTTACACGAGTTATCCCATTACATGTTGTCGGGAAAATGTGTTCACCTTCGACCTCTACCTGCTCTAGAAGTTTGTAACATTCATTCAAAGTGTGTATTTGAAAGTTCCTTAGGCGACCCGCTTTATCGCGAGGAAAACAACCGCCATGACGTTCGCAGTTCTTCTTTCTAAGCGCCGGTGGGATGAGGAGGAGGGGAAGGGGGCGGGTGCTACACCGGGGCGAGGGCTGCGCAGGTGGCGCCACTGCAGCTACCATTGCCTTCAACTGCTGGCGGCGCGCGCGCTGCTCTTCATGGTGGAGGGGCCCGCCGTGCAGGCGCAGCTGGCGCAGGAGCCGCAGCTGCGCATTCTGGCGGCCGCGCTCGACTCCACGCACGACCCCGTAAGCACACCCTTTGGACTTGCAGTTTATTATGTATTGTTTTGAACTTTTGAAAGTAGTCGGGCGTTACAGGAGGAGGCTCATTGGCCTGAACCTCGCCACCAATAAAGACATTTATTTATTTATTCATTCATTTATTCATTCATATTTATTCATTCAATGCCGAATAGCCAAAATTCATAGTTAAACAAAATCAAAACTAAGTTAAATAATCGTGAAAGTAAGGTACTTAAACTATCTAAAATAATTTAGGCATTTTCAATAAACAAATGGTTTACCGATTAACTTAATTTTGGTTTAATTTAATATTTGTGTAATTAATTGCACAATTTTGCTAGTATAATAGTGTATAATACAAGTAATAATAGTAATAAGTGTGTATTAATACAATTTAACATAAATATCATACCTGTTTTACAAAGAAACAATTTTATGTTATGATTTCTCTAAAAACAAAAATAAAGTAATGAAATTGAAAACAAAGAAAATCAATTTGTGTGTGTTCTGGCTTGGAAAATCGTGCTAATTTTAGTTTTTCATTATTTGCGGTTTGCTTGCTTTCTTTTTAATATTCCTTCATCCTTTACGTTACCTCCTTTTCCCCTTGGACTACATTAATCCACATTCTTTAGAATTCTTTCCTTTTTAACCAATTTCCGTTATTTTCACTGTATTCTTCGATTTCCCTCTTTCTTTACCTACGTTATTCACAGACTTTTTTCGTTTCATTTGATCTCTTCGTGCAATACTCTCTCCCCCTTCCCCCCCCCTCTCTCTCTCTCTCTCTCTCTCTCTCTCCCCTTCACCCTCTATCTCCCGTTCTCGCTCCCTTTCTTTCGCTCACTCTCTGTTCTTCTCTCTTTATTTTCACTTCTTCTTTCTCTTTTATTTCTTCTTTCTATTACTTTTTCCATGTACTTCTTTCGTTCGCCGGATGTCAACAGGGCGGTAAGGGCCGTGCGGTGAGAGTCTAGTGGTGAGGGCGAGGTAGCGACGGCATGGAAAATCCTTGGCGGTGACGGGGCGATGAGGAGAAGAACGTGACGGGACGGTGAGAACCTGGTTGTGGCAGGGCGGTAAGGGCTGGGTGGTGAGAGCCGCGTAGTGACGGGGCGGTGAGGGCCGAGGGGTGGCGTGGCCCGGGTGTAACGGAGCAGTGAAGGCCAGACGCTGGTAGGGCAGTGAGGACCGGTCATCGGCGAAGGCCATCTCCTGATAGAGCCGCGGCAATGGGGGCGGAAAGTGCCAGAGCGCTGAGGGCCGCGCAGAGACGGAGGAGTGGCGAGGGCCCTGGGTTGCGGAATGGTGTGGCTTGAGGTTAACGAGGCAGTGAGATCCGGACAGCGGCAGGGCAGCAAAGGCCAGCTGGAGACAGAGCGGGGGGCAGTGCCGGGGCGGTGAGGGCCAGCAGAAGGCAGGCAGGGGGGGGGAGAACGGCCAGTGCCGGGGCGGTGAAGCCAGGGCGTTGTCGGGACAGTGAGGGCCAGCAGGAGGAAGGCAGGCGGAGGCGGTCAGTGCCAGGGCGGTGAGGCCAGGGCGTTTGCGGGGTAGTGAGAGCCGGCCGGAGGTAGGTAGGGGTGCAGGAGTGGCCGGTACCAGGGCGGTGAGGGCCGATCGTTGACGCCGCGGCTGCTGCCCGAGCAGCAGCTGCTGGTGCTGGTGCTGCAGATCGTGGCGACGCTGGCGCTGGAGCCGGCGCACCACCGCGCGCTGCTAGACCAGGGGCTGCCCGACGTGCTGTCCCAGCTGCTGCTGCCCTCGGACGAGTGGTACTACACCAACCACAGCACCAAGTACGCGCGCTTCGTCAAGCACCACGCCGGCCGCTCGCTCGTCTACCTGGGCCTCCAGCACCGCGTCAACCTCAGGTTCAGCGTCTTCGATATCCTGCAAGGTCAGCGGCTCTCGCTCCAGCACCAATGCTTTGATGATTATTTATTGTTATACTTTGATGTTTGTTAAGGTCGCTAACTACTAAGGTCGTTCAGTAACTACTGTAATGAACATTGTTTTTTTAACTTCTTGGATAACAGTGGCAGAACTCGCATATGGTCCATGCCCGGTTTGCGATTTGAACCCGCAACCCTGCAAGCCGAGGAATCTACGGCCCTTCATCTTTCGCGACGTGGGCTCTCTGGGCTGGCCACGAATACTTTTATTATTGACCTAAGATGTCTTTAGTCAACATTTTTGTTCTAAATATTATCAGATTTTAATGACTTGTATGTAAGTCGAGGATCTCCCGTCTCACAGCTGGAATTTGACTTGGCCTACCGATACCTCTCAGAATCTAAAGCCATCATAATTTTCTAATCTATTAAATAAAAATGTGTTTAATGATGCCTTTTTTGTTATTTACGGTTTTTCTATCGAAATAACATTTCACAAATACTAGATCGTCGTTTTTATTACTTTTGTTCAGCTGAATGTTGAAAACCGCGCAAATGTTTTTTCTTAAAATTATCACCTATGTGGTTTGTTGCTGTGACACTGTGATTTAACTTGCTAGGTATTTTATAACAACTTTTTAACATTCGTAATACACTATTTAAAGTCATTAGTGGAAAAATGTCTATCACAATGGCCAATTTGCCAATAATTTTCTCTATTCTATAAACATTACTATAATTCAGGCTTGAGCTCGAAGTTACTTGACAGCTGTTAAATGTCAGAAAATTATATTTATTAACGTCAGGGATGAATATAATATTAAATATTAATATTGATCAAAAATTTTGCATCAAGCTAAAAATAAATTATTGGAAATTGTTAAAATTGCCTATTTTGAATTTGAAACCAGTGGTAAATCACCAATAATAGGAAAAAACACCATTTTTACTCTGGCCGAAACGTCCTGATAATGGTTTAAATTTATAGGTTATTTGTGTATGTTGGGCTATTAACCCAAGAAATGACTTTGAGATGTGTGTGTGTGTGTCAGATGAGGCGCCGCCGCCCACGCCGCTGCTGGAGTCGGTGGAGGACACGTACATCCAGCTGACGTCCGCGCCGCCGGCCATCGTCACCTGCCCGCGCACCGACCTCCCGCTGGGGCTGTCAGTGGAGGGCGCCGTCATGTACGTGCTCAAGGCCCTCGAGGTGAGCGCGCGCCTGCCTCGCTGCATCGGAACGACTGCAGCGACTAGCTCCTAGGCTCGAGTCAAGACGACATTAGAAAAATACCTCGCTGAATTCAAACACTGTCTGGAGGAGAATTGTACTGGCAGACTGACCCGAATGGGAGTTTTTCGTTGCTTCTCCGATCAATACCAGGCGAATGCGGGAGAATTACCCTTACCAACTGGCCACGGACCGGCTGAGATATTTACTTTACTTGACCTATCATCAGCCTTTATTTAAAGTGTCTCTAAAACTACAATTTTAAGTCTTACCGTTTTTATGAGATGTCCAGGTACACTTATGGCTAATTCAGGCACAACATACACGTGTGTCAGTAGTACTAATATTTTGAATTAAAAACTTTTTTCCGTAGTTATAATTTATTATCATTTTTAATCAATCTTATTAGACTTATTAATTTGTCTCTTTCGACAATTTGAAGTGGCCTTGTTTTTACTTTCTATATGCCAAGGTTTGGACTTGATAAGCTCATACGGAGTTTTTGTGAAAAAAGGGGATTTGCAGTTAGTTTTATTTTCCCTTTCTGCTTCCAAATATTTCATCTTAATGCTAACTACTTACCACATCATTTGAAACATCATAGTTTTGATTTAAAACACTTCAGCAGGAAATATCCGATGACGACCGCGATAAAATAGTTGTCCAGTTATTGCGCCATTGCAATTTCCAGTTATATTTTGGTTTGCCATCAACAGCGAATTTTTTTTCGTAACAATGAAACAGTCTATTGCAACTTGTTGGAGTATTAATGTTTATTGACCCTTTCTCCGAACTTTTTTTTGAAAATCACAATTGTCGTCTTAATTACACTGAATACAGGTGCACAAGACACTAATTCCTATATATCGCTACTTGTTTTTTGAACAGTAAGGATTGTCTAATTTAACCATTATAATTCTGTAACCGACAAACATATTTAAATAGAGGATGTAATAATTACAAATGAAGCTTTAAGTGTGCCCTTATAAAGAGCTGTCGACTTGAGCGCCAATATGCATTCTTTTAATTAGTAATGTTGAACTTAAATCTAAGCTTTAATAGAATTGTAATATGTTGCCAAGCTTTGCTGAATGACAGGAATTGAAGTGACGATTCATGTTAGTACTCCTGTCTGGCAATAAAGGAACAGGCAAATATTAAGCAACCATGAGACACCAACGGGTGAGTAGTATTGCAAAGTATTAGAAAGGGTGAAGGGGGAGCATTAAATCTCTCGAGGTCTCCAAGCTCACTGTCAGCACCGAATTCTCGATTGATTGAAATTAGAACTGTGGGATAAAATTATTTCAATCCGGACTTCGCAATGAAAATATTTCATCGTTTCAAACAATAGCGAGGTGGGTGAGCTCTTGCACAGCGTAAGACTTCAGCCCTTGAGATCCATGCACGGTTTGCGTTACAATATTAGCGAGAACATTAACAATTATCTCCTTGTTAAACAACATAGAAACGGATATATGAAGCATTTTTTAAAAAAACTACACCTTCATCGTGTTCCATTCGGCTGGTCATCGTTGAAAATTGTCTCTTTATGCCATTTTAAAAATATTTCTCAACACTTCTCGGTTTTCATACATGTCGGCCAGCGTCTGGTCTAGCTTTTCAAACGAAGTGCGCGTGTTTTAGTCACGTGGTTTCTGAGGCAAGCTGGTTCAGTACAGAACGAGCAAAAATCGACGCACCGGATTAGCTCACACATCTCTTTCTACCATGGTTCTAGTATTGTTTCTCTTCAAAACACTAATTGGTCAAAGTCACGTTTCAATTATAAAAGCTTATTGACATTGTTGATTTCTAGAATAATTACGAATTATAATGGAATATCTAATCAATAAGTATTGAGTGTTCAGAAGATATACGTTTATTCGTAATGAAATGAGAATAAAAAAAACCTTATTAGATATTTTTTAAACACACATTCATTAAGTGAAGAAAGAGGAACGTGACTGTACTTTTTCCGACCATGATACAATTTATGATGTTTTGAAATTGATGTTTACTGAGCTGTTTATTGTGCTATTTTGAGAACAACTTTAAGCATAGTAATTGCTTTCTGCCTTTGCCTATAAAAATTTAATCTTGAGTGAGAAGGTTTACAGCTATTGTTTTAATGTAAGATTTTAACATCTAAAGTACCGATCGTAAAGATGTATTAGATCTAAAAAAAATGTTAAAGAAGATGAAGTGTTCAGATTCGAAAAACGAAGTATTCACATCTTAAATTAATGTTCTAACATTTCTTTGCGATTTCAAATAATTATTTTAAATGTTTACTGTTCTCATGACAGTTTCTTTGAAACGTGGTGTTTTTTGTGATTGAAAAACCATATCTACAATCTAATTTTTTAAAAGAAATGTAGAAATAAGGAATCAAGGTAACATTAGGAATGAATATGCCAACACCGTGATGTGATACATCTTCAAGCGAGTTTGATAATATTCTGATCTCGAAAACGTCAGTTTCAACAGATATTCAGAATTTATTTTTTGCGCATTGATCTCTAATTTAATTAGTTTGAATTCAAAGAGTCTTGTGATTTACGTACAGTTAATCAATATAGTGATTCAAACAAGCTAAGTAAAAATAATGGAAACTGTTTCTTAGGCTAAACTGTATTTACTGTGAATGGACAATTCTTCGTCGTTTTTCAGGCATCACTAGGGCAAAGTGTGACAACAGCCGAGCTGTCTACTCTGCACTGGGTAGTTAGCGGCAGTGCTTACGGACCATCCAGCACACTCGGACGACAAGGTATGAACCCTCTATCATTAATTTGCAATCTTCCAGGAAGGATAAAAAGATAAATCCAAATAAAACTCGAAAACATAAATAATGTCGTTGTGCAGTGAGAGGTATTATAGTTATAGACGAAGGAATCATTTAAAGTAAAGGTTTTGTTTATGTCATATTTATTCCTCCAAGCCTTTTATTTCACATTGCTCTTATGGAACTTCTTTCTTTCTTAACAAGATACATTCCTTTAAAGGGGAATGATGCGATACGCGAATGGCAAGAGTTATGTTTCAATACCAACAACAATTTTTTTTTTGTAGTACACTGATTGTGTGATGAATCTTTTTTGTGCCATTTATACTTACTATGTCATGTGCGCTTGTTCTTTCACAATCTCTTATACTACCACATGTTCTTATTGTCTTTTGTATGTTTACGTGAAAAGCGCTATTGCAACGTGTATACTGAATGTGTAGTCGTGATTATTGGGCCGGGTATCCTTATGGCAACGCGCAATTATTGTGCATGAGTAATGATTGTGCTAAGTGTGCTTATTGTGCCATTTGTGTTTCTTGTATTGTACGAGCTTATTTTGCGCGTCAGCTCATTATTCAACACTAAGAGTGTACATTGTACTATGTGGGCATTTGTATTTCATGTGCTGAATGGATGACGTGGGCCAGTTGTGGCATAGCTGCTGATAGCAAAATGCGTGCAGATAGTGGAATGTGTGATGATAGAGGCGTGTCTGCAGATAGAAGCATGTGCGCAGATAATCGAATGTGTACAGAGACATTTGTGATGATTGTGGCATATGTGCTGATAGTGGTATGGGTACTGATAATGGAATGTGTGCTGATAGTGGCATGTTTGGTGACAGTGGCCTGTGTGAAGATGGTGGAATGTGTGCAGAGGCATCTCTGATGAATTTGGCACTTGTGCCGATTAAGGCATCTGTGCTGATAGTAGCATGCCTGCTGACAGTGGCATGTGTGCTGACAGTGGCATGTGTGCTGACAGTGGCATGTGTGCTGACAGTGGCATGTGTGCTGATGGGCATGTGTGCTGATGGGCATGTGTGCTGATACTAAGTCATGTGTGATTTTCGAAATGTTGACTGAAGCTGGATATGGACTGAGCGGCATGTGGTGCTTGCCTTAGTGCCAATGTAGCCTCGATTGTGCACGTGTGCTCATTGTGCCATGCGTGCTATTTGTGCTACGTGTTTTCATTGTTCCACCAGTGCTCATTGTGCTACACGAGCCCATTGTGCCACGCGAGCTCAATGAGTCACGCACGTCTATTGAGCTATTGCTCACGCGCGCCTATTGAGTTTATCGCGCCTGCTGTGCGTGCAGGGCTGCCCGCGCCGCCGGGCGCGCGCCGTCCGCCGCCTCCGCAGCTGCAGGCGCCGGCCAGCTGCCCGGCGCGCTTCGTGCACACGTTCGTGTCGTGCTTCCCGGCCGTGCTGAGCCCCGTGGTGCTGCTGCGCCTGCTGCTGCACCGCCTGCTGACGACGGCGGCGCCGCTGCAGCGCTGGAAGAGCTGCGCCAGCCGCTCGAGCTTCGCGTCGGCGTCCGCCGCCTCGGCGCACGACGCGCCGCGCAGCCCGCGCTCCAGGGCCTCCTCCACCGACACCGAGCCCAGCTCGCTGCGCAGGCGCCGGAAGGTACGCAGCGCCGCGGCGACAAAGGCCATGAAACTCCGCGGCCGCGCCGCCGCCGGCCGCCGCCGCCGCCACACGCCGCGTCGCCGGGAGTGCTCGGGTGAAGCGAAGTCAGGCAGGTTCTGCAGCTGGCGCTGGAACCAGGATCGTCCTGCTCGGGGGTCCCGCGCCGGCCCGCCGCCCGCCCGGCCGCCGCCGCCCGGCCGCCGCCCCGCCGCCGCTGCGACGCCGCCTTGCGATGTTGGCGGTGCGACTTGGAGCGCCGCCTTTGTTGCTTGGCGCAGGCGGAGAAGCGAACGACGGCCCGCGGCTGTGGTGCTGTGGAGCGGGTTGTTGAGCGCCCGCCTGCGGATGCGGCACACATGTCTGGTACTCTACAACCGTCTGGAAACTATTGAAGAGGGTGTGAAAAACACCAAGTGAGAGCATAGCTTCCGCCGACCCGAGTCAATCTTATTGGCTGTCCGGGCTGACGGCCGCAGTCCACTGCGAAGATGCCGACGTTTGCGAACATTCTGCGACCTTCCTCAGGGCGTCATTACCGCTGAGAGAAAGTCGCAGAAATGGCCGACGAAACTCAGCACCTTCAGACCTGACGCGACCCTCACCCGGCCGACAGCCTAGTAAAAATATATGCAACGATAACAGAAATCACATTCTAGAATCACGCAAAACATTAAAAATGGGAAACAGAAAATATTTCAGAACATTCTTCCTACCGTTACTCTATAATAACGTAGGTAATATTTCATAACAACACACAAGCAAAACAATACATTTTTAAAATGGCACAAAGTTCTCTATCAATGCATTACTGAATGATTAGTGATTAAACCAGTAACTGAAGTTTTTACTGAATTATCGTTTTAACGTAAAGCGCATTATGACAAACCCAAATATGTAAAATAGTGGAACAGACTATTACTATATCTTGTCAATTATCAATACCCCACACTACTGAAGCACGAATTGTTTGCCTAGTGTTTCTTTCTTGCGGGGTTGAAAGACGTGGCAAGTAGATTGGGATGGATGGGTGAGGCATTGTGTGTGTTGGGGGCGGGTGGCGGAGGCGGCGTAACCGTGGAGCGTAGGGAGTGTCGGATGGAGCGGAGTGGCGTGAGCGTGAGGGGAGCAGCTGAGTGGAGGCGTGAGTGGGGCGTGAGTGAGGAGTAGCGTGAGTAGGAGTGCAGTGGACGTTGGGAGGCTGGTCGTGTTGTGAGGCGTGACTGGCAGGGCGTGAGTGGAGCGGAATGGAGCGCGTGGAGGTGGCCAA